ACGGGACAGGAGTGAAAATCCACTCCCGTGTCATTCTCTAGTTCATGAGGACAGTCCATATGTTATCGTTGTGTGTGTGAAAAAACAAAACAAAAAGGAAACTGAAAAATCCATAAAGAGTAAAATATGGGTAAACAATCATCAAAAATAACTAAAACATTTTTTTGATGAAGAAATGTATCAGTTTCATGTTTTTACATATTTATTTATTTCCTCTTTTGACATGTGTTCTGTGTTTTTAATAATTTCCGATCATATTTCTCTCCGTATTTCTGACGCCTTTCTATGGAAACTCTCTATTGTTGCTTTTGAGTCACACCCTCTTATAAAGGTGTTGGTCTCCACACCAGAAACAGCCAGACGCTCAGCAGACCCAGAGGGATCTCTTTCCTCCTGAATGGATTCAACCTTCAGCATGTTGTTTTTACTCCTGTTTGCCAGCTGGTTGGCCTCTTGTGCTGCAGAGACAGGTAAGTACATCCACTGAGATTAACAGGAACTTGAAAAAAACAACGAAGAAGCTTTGAATGAAGGCTTGTAGCAAATTAATGTATTCATCTCAATAGACTCCTCTTCAAATCTGGACAGGATGCATTCTTCAACCATGCATCTTGCTCAGTCCATTAATGCAACACTATTCCTGCCTTCAACACATTTAGAACACAGAGGTGAAAATAATTTCCAACTAAACCAATGCTTGAAGTCTCCCTTTACATTCTGCTTGTGTTTTTATTGCAGTGATAATATTCTTCCAAACAGCTATCAAATCCCAACATGAGCTGAATGAAACTACACTTGCTCTACTCTTAAAGCAGGTAAAACATTACTTTATTCACAAAAATAACCCAGATGGGATTAAAATCCCAAAAAGTTTGACATGTTTGTTTTTTCCAGCTTCGGGGAATCATCCAGGGATATCAACCAAACGCTGACTTCAGCCTCACGCTCAGGAACGTCACCAAAGTCTGAAACTGAACACATTTCTCTCCCATTACTTTGAGATAAAAAAGAACAAAAAACAAAAATCTATAGCACTGCTGTCAAATGCTGGAGAGGAGAGCATTTATTAGATCTAAATGATATTTATCTGAGAAGATATGGGGAGCTTTTATTAACTTTGTGGTTAATCTAGATGGGATCAAATGTTTGAACCGGAGAAGTTGTAGTTTCTGTATATAACAAAAAAAATAACATTACTTCAACATTTAATTTCTCTTTGGGGTTAATAAAGTATTTTTGAGTTAATTTGAATTAAATAAATGCATTTATGCAGATATTTTAAAAAATATTCTATAATATGAACAACTGGTTTTCCTTAGATAGAAAACTTGGAAACAATTTGAGTGTATGATCTGGTGAACTGTAAAGAGCCTTGAGATGATGTGTTGTGAATTGGCGCTATATAAATAAACTGAAATGAATTAAATATATTATAATAAATTATTTTGAGTGGGGCACCTGTCATCATATTTTTTTATGATCATGAAATATGACAGGTCGTTGATGGAAGGGGATCCTGGTATAAACCACTTTCCAGATTGGGTGGTGAAAAGTAGAAACCTGAATAGATGGGTTCTACGCTCATCTCTCCAGCCGCTGCCAGAGCGGATCAAGAAAAAAAAATCCTATCCTGTCCCCTCAGTATCTGTCAAATGTGTTTATTAACAAAAACATTAAGTTATTAAACATTTCTGTAATATAGCATACTAGTTTTCATGTATTTAGTTAGATTAAAAAAGTTGAAATCACAAATAAATTACAAATTTCTTGAGGAAATAATGAGGGAAAATATGAATGTATTAACAAAGAGTGCCAATGTCCAACTACGAATAATGGAATAAGAATCCATTGTAGACTTGCTGCATTGTCCTGTAAAAAGGCATTAGTAGCTAAATATGAAATAGTCAAAATGTATTTGCAAAACATAAAACTTCTTCACAATTTACTGGCAGATGATTCATGGGTGCATTAGTGTGGGTGGGAACCAGGGGGCAGCAGGGATGAAATATTGATTTCAGAAGTGCACTGGAAAAATGATCCAGAGTCTTAAATTAGGTGTATTTACCCTTAATTTGAGTATGTAAATGAGATAGTTTGCCAATGGAATTAGTATTTTTACTCTTAAAATAAGATAATTAGATAATATTCACTTGAAAAAAGACAATGCAATTGTGTTTTCTTATTTTAAGTGTAAATTTCCTTGTTCCATTGGCAAAATGTCTCTTTTACCTCCTCAATCCAAGAAAAAATGCACTTATTTTAAGAAAAAAAGACTTATCTAGATTTCGATTTTTCCAGTGTGGGGGATTGCAACTATCTTTTAATCTAACCAACTTCAGCGCAGTGACCATCCAATCACAGACCTGATTCAGTGGCGCATCAGATGTTTGGAAGGTGAGCTTCTCAAGAGTGACAGTGGTGACAGCCAATCACACAAGAAAAGATGGCGGGCCAATCAGGAACTTTTGAGCTGTCTAAAATCAAGAAAGCTGGCTTTAGCTTGAGCAGCTTTTTTTTTTTCGCATGGTCCTATTGCTCGACGAATGTCTGTGTACGGTAGTGTAACATTGTTTTTGCGAAGTAAAATGTGCAGGGGACATGTCCCCCCCGTGCCCCGTTGTTATCATCAAAATATTATGAGTATTGAAATATATTCTCCAATCCATTTGAGTGAAAAGTTTACAAGAGGAAGACAAAAGTTCAGGATCCAATAAGCACTAGTTAAGAAAATATTTTTAAAAGCATTACATAAAGCTAGCAGAGCATATTCTCTATACCTACCATCCCATCCATGTACCGATCCAAACCCAGACTCCAAAAGTCAGAGTGATTCAGGATGATGTTGTTCATCATTGCAATGTGCTGAGTGGGACTTTTGGTCGTCCAAGACCTGTGAAAGATAGTGTAAGAAAAGAAAATTAATTTTCCAAAATGAGGTGGGTTTTAAGAGGTTAAATGATGTTTCTAATTATATCTGCCATTTTCACAGTAGTACAATGTTCGACTTTACCAGTTTTTCCTTGTTGTCTCAGAGATTCTGTCTCCAACGTGTTCTGTGTCCTCATAATCCATGGACCCTAACCCTAACCACTTTATTAGGTACCCCATGCTAGTAACGGGTTGGACCCCCTTTTGCCTCCA